CAGTGGAAGAGGAAGGTTCTCGAATAATGACAGTGTTTTACTTAAAGAGAGCAAATCCTTTTCCCAAGAGCACACACATTTGGACCTTGTTGCAGCTCTTTAGAGCCAAACTTATCATCACTGTCATGGCAGTAGTCACATGATCGCTTTGCCTGGTCTACCTCCTGGTGGCCATGACTCAGCCTGTCATGGTCATAAAGCTCCAGACCCGTGTCAGTATTTCACCACCTCTGCACCTGGACCACAGCTCCTGCCACAGGTGAGGGATAGCTCACCCTTGGCACTCGTGACACAGCACCTTCAGAAGCCCTGGCTTCCCCGACACAGCCCCAAGAATCCAAGTTACTGCCTGGAAGCAGCACAAGATGGGCTCCAACCAAAAAAAGGCAGAAGAGATCAGATTTTCTCAGGAAACTTCTCAGAATTTTCTCAGGAAAATCAGGAAAATTCTGACTTTTCTCCTTTTCCTTCCAATGCCTGTTCTGAGATGCGGTAGACAGAGCAGCCTCTCTGCATGCGTCTTCCAATAACGAATGGACCCCTTGATCTGCTCTGCCACCTCTTCATTTTCCTCCCTACTCTTGTTAGTATGTAAGAGTTTGACTATGGTTTTGTTTCTAGAACACCTGGGCTAGCCAATTACAAGATATGATAAAAAAATACACAGAATGTTTAAATTTAAAATTTATTACAGTAAAAGACACATTGCCATTAATGATTCTCAAAATACTCTCCCTCACTTTGAACATATTTATCCCACCCTTGTCACTTTCTAAAGCAGTTCTGGAAGTCCTCTTTTGATCACCAGGGATGATTAAGAATATGGTGAATGCTACTGCCAAGTGCCATCCAACACAATGGTAGGCTTTTAAAAATTACTGTGTGACCTCCCCCACCTTGTCCACAGGATCTAGCACCCAAGAGTTTTCTCCCCTACAGTTAAAATGATAATGAAACGTAACTGTTTTGAATCACTTCAGGACATTGAGACTGCTACAATAGCGCAACTGAAAACACTCATGAAGAGAAGATTTCTAGAACTCCTCCAGAAAGTGCCACACAGTGTGATAAGTCTTTTCAAGTGAGAAGGAACATTCTGAGTGGGATTAATGGCAATGTGTCTTTTACTATAGTAAATCTTTTTAAATTTAAATGTCCATCAAATATTATGATCAACACTTGTAATTTTTAAGAAATATTCAGATGTTAAATATAATATTCATGGTTAGAAATTCAAACAAAATTAATTAGAATACGTTAATTGAGTGCATTTACTTATTTGCTTCGGGCCATGGTAGATCCTGGAGGAAATAGGAGTTGTACAGAATAGTCACTGAAACAGAAGGGAGAGTAATAAGACATGGAAAACAAATAGTCAAGCAACAGTCAAAGAAATAGTACTTCTCATTTGGGAGCCCAACAAGGGATAATCAGAAACACACGACTCTGGTGAGCATAAATGCTTTCCTCATATAGCAACCTCTGCATTACAGGAGCATGTACTAAGGAGATTTTCTTCCATTGTATCTGTTTACAATGTAATGTGCTTCCTGTGTTATGTAATGTTTGAAGGTGTTAGATTCCATGAAAATAGATAAATCGACTGAGTGGCCTACTTCAGTGAAGACAGCACAACTAGATGAATGCATTAAATTTAAAGAATTTTAAGACTCAGTAGATTACCAGACAATATTCCAACATCCCATGTTAAGAGAAATCCAGAAGAAATGACAACAGTACATCTGCTTAGCAAGGAACTTTGGAATGCTCAAATGGAAAAATGAATTAAAATTTGGCCAGAAAGAAAGAGAATATTTTCTTACTATGGAAAGTTGGCAGATACCACACGGTGATCTCAACTTGTACTGAAAATAATTTTAGATATTGAGTCAGATCCCAGTAATAAAGGTGTAGAGGGCAGCTACTCATCTTCAGATATTTGCTACTACAGAATCCTGCACCCTGAGCTAGTAAAGTGCAAAGGGCCTTTTCTTAGAAGCAACTCCAACCAAAAAGACTGGGAAATATTTATTCATCAATGAATGAAAACTATGATTTAAGAAGTCCTCTGAGCATACTCTGGCTTCTGAATGTTTATCACCACAGACATTACTGCACTCACTGAAACCCTTGTTTGAATGTACTCAATTGGAGTCTTTTTCTTTTCTTTTTAGGTTTATAAATCCAGACCCAGTTTACACATCATAAAAGGCCACTGACTAAACATTTAAATGTACTGTTTGGTGTTTTTTAGCATGTTTTTAGTTCTGAATATATGATCAAAATCAATGACTTTTCCTAGAGATCTGCACATATACATACACACAGTATTTTGCATGAAATTTCTGGAGTTTTATAGACATTTTATACATCCAAATATATTCTCAAATGTATAAAGTATAGCTAAAAATCAACTGTTTTAAATAATGTTTAAAAACACTTAAAGACAAAGTCTACTAAAGGAAACCCTTAGTAATACAAATATTTGGCCTTTCCAATAAAGTAATAATAAAATTCAAAATTTATAGATAGAAACAACGCCACATCTATAATATACCTAAAAGCTAGGTCCAGGTCTCTGGGAACGTCTATATATCTCATCAGTTTTTTTTTTTAAATGAACTTCATAAGTAGTTGTTTTTGAGAATGATCTAAATATCGATCACAATATGTCAAGTTATACGTTGATTTCGTTATTTCATTTATTTATTTATTTAATTTATTTTGGTCTTTTTGAGATGGGGTCTCGCTATGCAGTTCAGGCTGGCCTTGAGCTCACTTTGTAGCCCAGGCTGGTCTCGAACTCGCAACGATCCTCTTGCTTCAGCCTCCTGAGTGCTGAAATTACAGGCATGTGCCACCACACCTGGCTTTCTTTCCTCATTTTAGATATGTGAAAGAATAATCATCTTAAACTGATTCTTTTTTTTTTTTTTTGGAACATACATAACATGCAAAATTCATTTGTATCTATTTCTAACTGAAGTCTACATTGTACTTCTTTCTGCTTCTTTTCTCAAATAAAAACTAGTTCTACTCCAGTGGCACAGGTTGAAAATGGAGATATGTGTCCCAGCATTCATATCTACTAGGCTTCTGAACTATAATTTTGAGCTTTGAATCTTGCTTATGTTTGAAATATCTAAGACTATGAATCATTTGGAAACCAAAACCATCATGTGTTTAGCATTTTTTGGTGAAGAAAATTCTAGAGTTGAATGTCAAGTTTCAGACTGTTTATAAGTAGCAGAAGATTCAAGGTTGAAATGGGATTTTCTATGACAGTCTGCAAGCAGCAGCGAACATGTGCCTAAATTACAAATAAAGCAAGCATCATCTAAAGTTAAATAAAAAAAAAAAAATAAAAAAATAAAGTCAAGCAAAAAGGTAACAAAAGACCAAGTTAATAAGTAAAACCTCCTCGCCTAAGATTCATAGAAAATATTTAGGGACTTTAACATCTAACTACCTCAACTATTTTAAAACAAATTGTATTTATCACTGTTAGAAACTAATAAAAGTGACTTTGATAAATCATAAATTTGATGTGTTCAAGAAAAAAAAAGGCAAATAAAACTAATGTTAGGATAAATGAACCAAAAATACTTATTACTCAATTATTTTATAGTATTTAAAACTTTATTTGCACATCAGTTGAAGTTACTTCTAAACATTTTTCCATTTAAATTGTCTGCTATTCTTTGCTATATTTCTTGGTCAATATATTCCTTAACATTATTGCTAACCAATGACACCCATTTAAAAGTCTTCAAATTTTCTTCAATTTAGTCTAATATAATTTTGTATTTCAATAATTTCTTTCAGTTGTGGTTTCACGAATTATTCTGAAAGCATTGGATTTGTTTCTGTTTAGAGCAACATCCTTGTCATAGGAACCACAAAGCTTGATTTCTATTCCTCTGCGAGGCACCGTGTGCTAAACCTAGCCATGCGGACTACCTAAACACAAAGTGTCAGCCATGCCTCCTGGAAACTGACCGTAATCATATCCACAGTGCCATATCTACCGTGCCTATTATGAGTCTGAAATAAAATAAACAAGAGTTTTTAAATCAAAATAGTGGTGGCACTGGTGGGGCTGATAATGATGGTAGCAGTAATGCTGTTATCCAAGGTGAAATTCTGTTACACACGGTACTATCAGAAGATAGAACTACATCTGTAATACAGAGATGATACTACTTGCAGCTTCCTAAGTTACTTTGCTATGATAACAGAATTCAGTGACCGTGCCACCATCTTTATGCAGTTCTTTTTTAAAACTGGACTATTATAAAGTTTATTATGTTACTGAACGACACGAACAAAGCGGTGTATTAAAATAGAAATTTTGTTTCCCTGACTTGTTTTCTCCTATGCTTGACAAGACTAGAGAAGTTTTCCTGAATAGTGTAAGTATAGAATAATCTCAATTTCCTTAACTTTATGAGCGATAAAACATAGTATGCCAATTTTTTATGAAACTTGTCATATCACTCTTTTAACTGCTTTGGAAATAGATGTACTGCTTTAGAAATGCATCCACCAACTAAGAATATAGTTATCCAATTACAAATTGGAATTTTAGATATTTTTGAGTCTGGAATGGCCTGGGCAGTTATACTGACTACCTTGAGGAAAGACATTTACTGTTTAGCAAATTTTTGAAACTCTGATCTATTTCTCTCATCCTTGAGGCCTCATGTCTCTTAGATTCTTTAATATTTTGGAAGGAATCACCCTTTTCCAGTTATCTATTTCATTCCACTGAACGGAAGTGAAGCTATAAAAGATGCAATAAAGACTAGACGTTTCTGGAAGTAGATGTAAGAAGCTGAAGCTTATGTAACATGTTTCTCCGTCATCAGGTCACTCTCTGGGCTGTTTATCCTCTGGATCCCTTTCAGACCTCATGGAAGTTAATTTTAGTTCACAGAAAAGACTGCAAGGCAGACTGCTGTCTTTGCAGAAAGTGTCTCAGGGAAGCTCTGGAGTCTTACCTTTCTGATTTCCTGCGCACCACCCGAGAAAAGGAGGCACTCTTTGTCCCGGGGGTACCCGTCCTCGCATCGGTTTGCCCGAACCTCGCTGAGAGTGTGGCGGGGAGCCCCAGGGCCAGGGCCCGCGGGCTTCCTCCTGGCCCGGGGGGTCAGGGTCTGGTAGAAGAGACAGACAGCCACCACCAAGCCCACCACGAAGGGCCGGGCGCACAGTCGCCGACGGCAGAGGAGCACCGGGCGACAGCGCATGGCCAGTTCAGCTTCGCTTGGCCCCTGCCCACCTTCCTGGGAAAGTCATAGCAGCTATGTTTCTGTCCGCATGAAGAGTACAAATCTGTCTTCTTTTTGTAGAGCTGCGGTCAAGTCCGCTCCATGTCCACTTAAGAACTTCCCAAAAGCTCAGCCAACGGGTCAGAGGTTCCAAGAGTCAGAGGCGGCTAGTAAGAGCCCTTCCATGGGTGACAGTATAAGGTTAAAACTGTACAAAGACACCAAAATAATAATAGCTATAACCAATCGGCTAAGTGCATTCCAGACTGCCGGAAAAGCCTGACTTTCACAACATCCTTCAGCTCACAGTAAAGGACTTCAGCTCCGGCTCAGCTTCACTGGGAAAGAGAAAAACACCACAGTAAATCCGGAGTCTGAAAACAGCCCGGAGAACGCAATAGGTTAAAAGCAGAAGTGCCTGTTGCACAGCTGGATTCAGGCCAGGTCGCCCCAGCAGTTCCTCGGTTTTCCTCGGTTTTCTAAAGCAGTCCTGTGCTCGGCCTCTTTATTTCTTAACTGCTTCCTTTCGTTGAGTTTTAATAGCCACTTTGCAGTCAGCACTCACGGCGTTCCGCGTAAAAGGGGCACCAGCGGTTTCGGGGACGTGGGGACTGTCGGGTTTGCTGGCGCCGGTTTCATCCCGCCTCAAGTTCAAAGTTCTGTGTCCTCACTCGGCGCGCTGTCAGCCAGAAGCGTTTCCGTGGCCCTCAGCGGGCCGCCGACCAGAACCGCTCGGAAGGAGGCCGGGTCGTGCGACTGCAGCTCATCGCACACGCGAGGGC